GTGACTCTTCATTTTTATCATGTCATCTCCCTTTGCATTGTAAATAGCTGACATGATAATAATGAAGCATAGCACTGTACAGACAGTTGTTTAGAAATGCAGGGAAAATGTATCTTCTGGAACAGCATTATTTTACTTTGAATATATTCTTCAGGTCAGATTTTGTAAAATTGAGTACTAAAAGTCTCGGGAGGTATTTTCAGCTTGAATTAATATTGTGTTGCTTACATGTATCTTCACTGAAGAAGTTTTTTTTTCTTCTTTCCAGTATTTTAAGTATCACAAGGCTCTCTTAAAGAGCAATCAGATATTATTTGGCTGTTTGTAAAAATCATAGCAGTCTAAGAGGTCATCTTTTAGGACTGTTTCCAATTCACAGTGAAGGGGAACAGTGATGTAATAATTAGGAAAACAAAAATCTTTCCTAATATGTAGGAAGCCACCAAAGATTACTTATTTTCCTCAAAAGTATTAGCTCTAAGGTAAAGTGTAGGTCTCATTTATTAGTTTGCAAGTATCTGTGCAAAACTGGATTTGCAGATTCATGTATACACAGATGTGGTTTTCTTCAAACAGCTTTGTCCAGAGTATACCCTCTGCTCATCCGGCATCACTGAAACAAAGAAACAGTGTGTAAAAGTTAACAATTTTGAAATAAACATTCTCACATTAGGAAGGATATCTGTCTCAGATGGATTTTTGAGAATACAAGGTAGAAAAAAATCAGGAGTTACTGGACTGGATTCAGAACTTTCTGGATTTGATTTGATGCTGGACTGATGTTGCTACTGGGGAAACAAACCAGTGGCTATTTTCATCTTGATGTATAATTGCAGTGGTTCCAGATTTTCTTTGGTAAATAAGAACCCTTTTCAGAACTAGTTACTGATGAGAAACTGAATCTTTGAAAGTGTGTTAGGACAGTCCCTTGTGTTCGCTGCTTCATAATTTTATTGGCTACCACTAATACTCATACAAAAATTTAAACAGTCACTTTGTGTACTGTCTTAGGCTTGAGCTATAAGAAATGTGGAGCAATGTATTTTCTGTGTTCAAAATCTAGTGTGAAGTTTTGCCTAAGTGCAGGGCCACAGGTTCAACATCCCTAAAGAGCTCACTCTCATGCTTTTTGGACGTAGTTCTTGTTGAATTTTGCTGAATTTGTGCATTTATTCCATAGTCTTAGATCCTGGCACTGGATTTGTACCCATTTGTTGTATGTTTGTATGGTTGTCAGCTGCAGTCTGTTATAAGTCCTTGAGAGAACATTCTCTGTCCTGGTCTTTAAGATAATTAAACCAAGGAAAACCTAATTAAGGTAACACTGGATCATTTGGTCTAACCCTTAAAGCTGTTATACCTGCTTGCTGATACAGGCTGTGCAGAGAGTAATCTCTCTGATACCAGTTGTTTGGCTTGTCCATCTCTCTGCCACCTATGTAATTCACTGTTTGTGTGACTTTTGGCTTTCAGCTTATTTTTGTAGGTGTGGGGAGCATTGGTTTCTGTTTGAAGTCTCAGTATTTTAATTACTTGTTGAATAATTTGTAAGCAGCTTGTTGAGCACAGGTTTTTTGGTTGTGAGTTGATTATTGTTATTATTGAATTCAGTATAGTTTCATTTAAATATTTACAGTTATTCTTTGGATTCTACCAACTTAATGGAGCATTAACATCGAAGAGTGTTAAAAAGAAAAAAATGAGTAGTTGGGGTATGACTGTTCAGCCTGTGTTGGCTTAAAACTGAGTTTTGTTTTGGTAGCAGGTAGGTGAAGACAATAGTGTGTCTTCTGGAAATGGCATTGGTAATTTATTTATTTTTTTCCTTTTAACTTTTTTAAACAATTCTTTTGGTGGTATTATTAGGGAAAAAAAATCATGCAAGGAAAAATGACAAATGAAATGTTTTGACCTTTGCAGATTTGGCATATAAACATAAAAATTAAGGTATTTTTGTGATTTATAAAATTAATATTAAATTTGGATCTTAATTGTGTAGCTAGATTATATGGAGTGCTGTACATCACTCTTAAGTTTTGAGCCTAATTACTGTTTAACAGCCAAATGCTCTAGAACTTCTATACTTATTTAGATTGTCTGAAAAATTCACTGTTTCTCAAAAGTTTCCAGGGAAAGATGAACTGGAAATTAGTTTGATTTCAAGAGCCCCACAGACATGCACACACCCCACACACAATCCCTGTGTGTGGCATGTACCATCTCCATCCCCTGTCCTGTCCTCGTTGTACCCGCTCCCCCAAAATGGCACATTGCCTGCATTTTATTGGTTATTTGTTTTCTTTTTTACTGTTGTTATTATACTGTTAATCATGTTTATGTATTTATTATTCGGTTTTTATGTTTTGTTAGTTTTATTTAGTATTTGTTTTGCACTCGCATGCCCCATGCTCCCACATAGTATTCCTCTGATGGTTGTGATCCTCTCCTACTCAGTACAGCACTGGAAGAAACGTCAACTGGTGCATAAATTCTTACCTCTTTATTGTTTGTTCAAAATAAACCTCACATTATATTGTGTCTTCATTTTGACTTTACATACTGGGGAACATAATTCATGTACTCTTGGGTTCTGAGGTCAGCCTCAAAAGTTTGATCTATCAGAGGGAGATGCAGGAGAACATGTTCTTTGTAATGTTTGTAGCAGACTCTAATTTTATTTTAGAAATGTGGTCAAAAGAAAATAGTGTTAATTATGCTAAAGTAAGATAAGCTACTAGGTAGCAGCAGAAGGGAAATACAGTCATGCCACATTCACTGGTTTGAACAGGAATGACAGAAGGGTCACAGGAAAGACTGTTTAGCTACAAACTTTATCAATGCCAACATGTTGAAAGGTGTTGACTATCAGGAAATGTGTTCATAATAGAGCATTATTCCTGGGCTGTTTTGTGGACAAATACTGTTTTATGTACTGCCAAGCTTTAAAAAAAAAAAAAAAAAAAAAAAAGAAAATAGAGAGTGTGTGTGTGTGTTCTTGTCACATATTTGCTGTCTCTGCAGAGAGGGAGCAAAGGTCATGGAACAACATTTGAATATCACTTATTTATTCCACAGCCTTTAGAAAATTAAGCAGTTAATATCTGGAGTGTATGAATCACTGCTGTTGAAACTTAACTGTGCCTCATAAGATTTTGGCAGCAAGTACTGAAACATGCATTCAGTATTAAATCTATTGAGATTCAAAGTAAAATTGCAGTAACAGACATTATTATCAGTTTCTCCATGATCAGTGATACACCTCAATGAGTTAAACTCTTGATTGCATGTTATTTTATGGTTGAATATTGGATTTATAGGATACAGTAATGTCTTAATCTCTGTCAGTGATATTCTCCATTGGTATAATTCTGCACTTGTAAGTTGAGGGGAGTGTAATTGCTTGAGTGTAAATCACTTGACTTAAGCTGTGATAATTTGCACAGCAGAGTGGATAATACACATAGTATAAAGTCCTTAGTCCAGAGGCTAGCACCGCATTAAAAATATTCTATAACTAGATCTTTGAATTTAGAAGGGTTTATGTCATAACTGTAACAAATCGGGTTTTTTCCAATGTCATAGTGACACAGTGCACCTCAAGAGTCATCATACAGCTCCAGGTATTGGAGCAACTTCTTTTCTGTTAATTGACAGTCTTTCATGTCACTGCATCTTTGCTCATTTCCTGTATGATATGCTCAGCCCAGTCAGATTCTCTTAAGCATATTTCCCTTCACTGTCCACGATATATAGATGTATTTCCAAGAAATGTTTACAGTCTAGAACAGTCACATTCACACTAATTCTTCATCTCTCTTTCTTTTTATTTCTCTGGTAAGTATAATAAATGCCATGTACAGTTCATCAACTAAAGTGGAAAAAAGGTGAAGGTGTGAAGAAAAACATGTCCTTTTCAATAATGCTGGAATGTTTTTATTAAGTAGGCCGAGAGATACATGTATTTCATTATTACTTAAAACCTGTGACCAAAAATAGGATTTTGGAGGTACTTCAGACTATACTAATATGCTTTCTTTGGCTTACTAATGGAAGTAGTACACATGCATTACTGAAATGAATAAAATACTTTTAATTTCCTCATGGGAATGTGGTGAGCCCCCTTTTTAAATTGTATTGTAGTTTGTTAAACGCTATTACGGCTTTTTAATGTTAAAAATAATCATGTTTGTAAACCCCAAACTGTGTAGAATCTTTGACTTCATAATTAATAAAATGTCAGTCAATTTAAAAGTTGCTACATTAGAATTCTCTGAGTATCTTTTGTTTCTGTGCTGTTGTTCTTACATGTACACTGCTACTTTTGGGGGAAGAAGGTCAGAGTGCTGCAATGTTTAGTGAGTTGTTCTTTGTTAGCAAAGGTCTGAAATCTTAAGAGCAACAATATGTGGCTTCTGGTTTTAAAAGGACACATTTATAGATATGGCGTAGTCTGACAATAAAAAAGAGATGACATCTTTCTGTGTATTTTTACTGTCTGTTTCTCTGTTGTAGTGCGGTTGGCACATTTGCTCGAGCATTGGACTGCAGTAGTTCTGTGAGGCAACCTAGTTTACACATGAGTGCAGCTGCTGCTTCCCGAGACATCACACTGGTAGGTGGCTTCTTAAAAACCCTACAACTTCTGTATCTGTGAATTCAACACTGTCTATTACTCCAGAGTCCCCGTCCTCCATCTGTTGCCCTTAAAATACCTGCATGCAAGGGGTGCGTGTGTGGTAGAAAATCCTGTGTGTTTCTTGTAAGCTCACTGGTACTGCCCTTCTAATCATACTGTAAATCACTTGACTTTAGTTGTGATAATTTGCACAGCAGAATGGATAATGCACATTGTATAGGGAGTCATTCAGTGTAATTGAGCAACAGTGTGATTCAAAGTATGTTGTAATAAAGCTGATGGAAAATAGTATAGATAATACTTTTTACTTACTAGATGTGTATGTCATCAAGTTTTCTAAAGGATAAGCAATCTGACTTTGTAAACATATTTTTGAAGAACATTATAATTAGCATATTCTTACTATGTTTCCTTAGTTTGTTAAAGTATTCACTGCATCTTTTAGAAAAAGTTAAAAACATATTGATTACAGGCTAAAGGTTTGTCTCTGTATATTCATATTAGCTAAGATGACAAGATGTGCCACAGTAATAAAACTGTGCCAGCAAAACTATGTGAGAAGAAAAAATATTAGTGTTTTATACAATCAAGTTTAGTATTTTAAGTATTTGTGTACAGACTCACCAGACTAGTAGAAGCTATTCCTCAGATACTGGAGTATTCGAACTAGAGGGCACTGGATAAAACTAACAGATCAGTTTGAAATCATAGAATCAACCAGGTTGGAAGAGACCTCAAGGATCATCGAGTCCAACCCTACCGTGGTCACTAGACCATGGCACTAAGTGCCACATCCAGTCTCGGCTTGAAAACCTCCAGGGATGGTGAATCCACCACCCCCCTGGGCAGCACATTCCAATGCCTGACTACTCTCTCTGTAAAAAATCTCTTCCTAATATCCAACCAAAACCTCCCCTTGCAGAGCTGGAGTCTGTGCCCTCTGGTCCTGCTGCTGGTTGCCTGGGAGAAGAGACCAACCCCCACCCGACTACAACCTCCTTTCAGGGAGTTGTAGATAAGGTCTCCCCTGAGCCTCCTCTTCTCCAGGCTAAACACCCCCAGCTCCCTCAGCCTCTCCTCATGGCACTTGTGCTCGAGTCCCTTCACCAGCCTTGTTGCTCTTCTCTGGACCTGCTCCAGCACCTCAATATCCTTCCTGAACTGAGGGGCCCAGAACTGTTAAGGCACTGGATAAAGTGCGTAGAGAACTCCTGGAATTTAGTTACACATAATTTTGTGGGAACAGGTAGTGTACCAGGAGGTTAAAAAGAGGGGTTAGAAAAATTATGGACCACAGGCAGAGATGTGCCATCTAAACTTCCTAATTCCCAAGGTTTGTGGATGACAGTTGATGAAAAGAAAATTGACCTCAGACTGTGATTAGACTTACCTGCATATGTTCTTAATGTAACATTCCTTGATCCTGCTGTAAGAGACAGAATGCTTGGCTAGATGGATGACTGGTCTGATTCAGTAGGGCACTTCTTATATTCCAGATAATATTTTATCTCATGAGTATGGTGAGAATAATATCTCATTAGTATGATGAGAAATATATTTAATTTATTACCTTTTGCAGTGTATTCAAAGGCTATTGAAGAGGAAACTGATTCAGTCTGAACTATGATAGTAAAAGCAGTGGCAAAATGTAACTTTCTCGGTAATACTCAAAATGAGCTTTCTATTTCACACTTGCTGAGAACTTTACGAACACAATTCTGTTCACATTAAATGCTTTATTTCTTTCATCAGAATAGTTCTTTAACTTTTTTAATTTTCTTGAGATTTTGTTGGATTAAGAATTTCTAATAAATTTCACATACTGCATATCCTTCTTACTGTCTTTGGTGATTAATAGAATAGATTCATCCTTACAGCAATTTCTTGTTTGAAAGTACATGTACGATGCTGCTAATAAAGGGATACTTTTAGTGTTTGAGTGCCATATAAATGTTTCTCCATTGCAAATGATCCATTTAGTTCCATTACACTTAATGAAAGGCATATCTTATAATGAGACACCAGAGGAGCCATCCCAGGCTTAATTATTGTGTCTGTCTTCTTCTCATTTTCCTAGCCCCTCAGCTTTTTAAAACCTTGCTCTTCTGCTTTTTGGCAATGTACTTTCTTCTAAGTTGAGAAAGGACATATTTGTCATTATAACAGTTACTTTTTCAGACATTCCCATGTTAATTGGGAGTGTGTTTTCAGCAACAGTTAAAGTTTAGTACAGACATTTGCAGAACTTGTAGTGTTATTTATGCTTTGGAAGGGATGTAGGTGCATAACACTAAGAAAGTTATACTATCTATATTGTTAATGCAAGGGCAGATAACCTTTGCAGCTGGAGTGCTATTAATGGGATTTCTGTATACCACACCTGTGGCTTTCTAGTATTCCTAATTAGTTGTTCAATCAGAGAGAGCTGTAAACAGACTGATATTGAAAAAAGGCGTAGATTATAAACATGAATAAATTCAGGGTGGAGGTACACATTAGGGAGGTCTTGCAGCTCAACAGCAAGTGAGAGGTTACATTCAGGTTTCCTTATTTTGAAACATGGGGAAGGTAATGAGACAAGGCTGGAAACTACCAGAGCTTTCAGAAAACCCTCCTGAAAACATGAAACAATGTGCATCTTCGTTCTTAGATGAGGCAAATGTGCTTGGCTTAGTGATAAAGACTTGTGAGACAAACTACCAACTGCAGCTTGCATTTCTGGCCTTCTCAGAGGCAGTGTTTTATATTATAATGAAAATTGATCTCTAAGAAGTGAAAGAGTCTGGGAAGACTTTCTGTTTCAGATTGCTAAACATTACATAGTGCATATACTGACAACAAGAGCCACTTAAAGCAAAGCAGGTTGATGGAATCACTTGTTCATTGTGGTGGGCTTATCCAGAAAAGCCCATGATTCTTTACTGTAAGGACCTAAATGTGGTTTTAGACATCTCTTCAAAATGAAAAGTATGAACAGTTTTTTCCATTGCATTTTGAATGATGTCTGTCTAATGATTTTTGTATTAGACTTCCATATAGGTGGCTCCTAAGGTAAACATGCTTAAAATATTTTTGAATTATAGAGTCCATACTCTGTTTCTAGTTTGAGTGCTTTGCTGGAGACAGTTCAGTCTAGTTGATTTAATTGACTACTGAAATTGCAGCTGGTTTGGGCGCTGTGTGTTGAGGTTTGTTTGCAGCATGCTATGTCATGCCATTTTTTCCCTGCTCCATGCAGCCCTTCCTTAGCTTTTGGTGCAGTTTCTTTTTCACCTGCTTATATTTGGACTTAAAGTTCCCTCTATCTATGGAGCTAATACTTATCCTCTGGTAGGTTGCCTTGTTTGTGCAGGTCAGTATGCTCTGGCCAAGAGTTCTTAGGGAAGGGTGGTTCTTCCTCTGCCCTTCAGGCTCCTATTTGGGAGATGCAATGCCGGGTCTCCCAGCCTCCTGCTCCATAGGTATCAGGTACCCATTAGTTGTTTCTTGCTGTCCTCTGACCCTTGGGTAAAGCAGATAAAAGCAAGATACTCCAGGACGTTTTCTCTCGGCCTCCAGTGATGTCTTCAGGCTTCTCTTGCTTTTGCTACCACAGTTTACCCACTGCAGTGTGGGAATTTGATTGCAGGTGAAGGCTGGCAAACCTGCAGAAGGCAAGGAGTTATTATCAGGGAACTTGTTAGTGGTCCTCTGTCACAGAACAGCTCAGTGAAGACAACATTTATCCACAGAATTCATTGTGAATTTTTAGTAATGTCAAAAAAAGCTTTATGGAATCAGATGTTTATTACAGATGAAAAAATGAACATAAACTGAGAGCTAAATTCTGATTTATTCTCTTCTGTTGTCATTTTTAAGAAAGTTGATATCAGTGAATAGATATGGATTTAGCAGTTGCTGGGAAAATGCCCAGTGTGTACTGCTTTTCCATAAGGGCTGTAATTTAAACACAGATTTAAACATTGATAACACATCTAGTGTAAGAGTTCTGTCTTTAGACCTGGTTTACTCATTGCCTGAAGGATAAGCAATAAACCAATGATTTCAAAGTACATTCTCTAATCTGAAGATTATGGATTTTAGACATTATGTTACATATTTCCGTATTAGAATATTTCATGTTAACAATGGCTTTTCTCCAGACTGGTGAATTTGATTGAACCATAACTAAAATTGGCCAATATTAGTGACATTGCTTATTGCAGACAAAACAGTTCCAGAATCTTGTGCTTGATAGCACTTAAAGACTTACAGTGAACACTGGAGAAAGACAATAGTTACTCATAGGAGATGGTGAAAAATAGGGAGAATCCATTATTTGCGCTACATTTGTATGCAGAAGCTCAACTGGTATTGCTCTGGAATTGCTATACTGACACATAATGCAGAAATGTTCCTTCCTTGAAAGGTTTTCTTGTAAGATGAGTTTTGGGCTGTGTGAGACTTTACATGCTACAGTTACAGCTCAGCACTGTGGTGGGACAAATGGGAAGGATGGTACACAGTCACATACATTATTGCACTTTATAACTCTAATACCTCCTTCAGCACAACAACTTATGTTTGTGGTGATGGGGTCTTTTGGGACACTGAGTCAGAAAGGCTTCTTGTATTTTGCTTATTTTCCTAGTGGGTGGATTTGTTTACTTTTCATACTCCCCTTTGTGGCTTAGCAATGTGAGCTTCAGTGTTACCTGTAATGTGAAGAATGTTTTAATTTTTTTTTCTGTTTTATTCTTTTATTTTTTTGTTCTTCAGAAAGTGAATCAACCAAAGAAACCTTATTTATCTGTCTCTTCTGATGGTTTAGCAAGGGACAAAAATCCTGCTTCTTTTTCAGTATGATGACAGGGAAAACAGTAAATGTCTTCCTTCACCAGCAACGAGAATATTGAGCTCATAGATGTCTGAGCAACTGTTTAGCTACTATTTAGAGCTTCTGTTAATTGAAAATGGGCCTTCAGTCAATATATGCCACTGTCTTTATTGGGTTACTTGAAACCAATTTCTACCACCTAAAGATTCTCTAGAAATGTTTGCTAGTAATTTGCAGGAACTAATAAACTAATGTCATTTTTGGTAAAGACTTTATCAAGACATTTCCTTTCCAAATTAAGTAATAAGCAATTTATTTTCCTTATATTCCAGAACAGAAAACTATGATATCAAGATAGATTCTAAATTTAGCATTAGTTAAGGCTACTTGCTTGGCTTATAGAAAATAATACATTGAATTTGTAATAAGTGAAATGGATGACTGTCTTAGTTAAACATGTCTTTAATCTCTCCTTGTCCTTGCTAGTTTCATGCAATGGATACACTGCATAAACACAACTATGATTTGAGCAGTGCCATCAGTGTTCTAGTGCCACTAGGAGGGCCTGTCTTGTGTAGAGATGAAATGGAAGAGTGGTCAACATCAGAAGCTAGTTTATTTGAAGAGGCACTCGAAAAGTATGGCAAGGACTTCAATGACATTCGACAAGACTTTGTAAGTATGAAAATAGTACACTTTTCTGTAGCTGTGTTTTCACAGAGTGAGCATAACTGCTTTCTGTAGGTTTGGAAGGTTTAGTTAAAGGAGAAGTCTGTAAAGCTGCTATATGTAATTAACATATATATATATACATTTTATCTGATTGAAAGTCTCTGCTTTCTTGTTTGATGTCATTCAAGATGGTGACAGAGAACAATCTGTTTTATACCAGGTACGATGTCTCATGCTGGGGTGTTTCGATAAGGATTTTTACAAGGATTTTACAGGCGCATGGAAAAGTTCCAGGAACTTTGTAGAACATTTCTACAATTTCCAGTGAAATTCATTAGCAGCTACATGGCTGACTCCCCTGAGTGTTTTTGTGAAGCTGGGATTTCCTTCTATGGTTAGCAGAGAGAAATTTATAGTCAGATAGCTTTTAAAATGCACTATAGGGACTTATTTTGACATATTGGGTGTTTTGGCAGTTCTGAAAAGTAAAGGAAATATTTTCCATTATGTTCTAACTACACTGGGTTTAGTACTGAAGTGTCAGACTATAGGGCAATAAAGCTTTAACTTGCTAATTCTAATGCAGAGTAATGAAATGACATGGATTATAACACTGATTACTGGAATTGCTAGTAATTTGTCGCAATATTTTGCACATTTCATGGCGACCATTTTTCTTTCAAGGAAAAAGATTTCCTCTGTTGTACCCAGTTCAAGTTGGTCTTCATGGAAAGGTTAGGATTTGAACCAAAGGAATTCAGTTATGTAAGACTGAAGTTGACTGGAGCATTTTCACATTAATCTCATTCTACTTGACTCTGAGAGCTCAGATTTTTTTTTATTTGCAGGAGCTTGTTAATAATCTTCGTGAGGGGAAAATGGTACTGTATGGTAAATGTAGAAGTCCTTCCAAGATAGACTGTGGGACAGTGGGAGGACACTTGGCACTGAGCTTATAATCTGTCTTTCCTTCACTTTCACAGTTCTGAAATGAAACAGATAATTGAACAAAGGTGGGAAGGGAAGGCTATTGTTTTTCTGAAGAACTGACATTTTAATTGGTGTATTATATCAGTGTGCTTAATTCTGAGGTTCCCAAGGGAGAAGATGTTCACTGCATTCATGACATAAGGTTGAAAGTAGCATCATGGATGAAATATCTTTGTTCAGTTCAGGAAAATATGATTGGAAAATAATACTTTATAGAGTTTTAGAACTGAAATCTTCACATAAACTACAGTTTCTTATTACTTCTCATATAGATAAATGGCTCTCAGCTATAATTGTACAATAGTTCTGTAGCAAAGTCTTGTAACTAAGTGGTTCCTAAGATACAATATTTGGCTTTTCAAAATACTTTTCAGTTTTAGAACTGAAATCTTCACATAAACTATAGTTCCTTATTATTTCTCATGCAGATAAATGGCTCTCAGCTGTAATTGTACAATAGTTCAGTAGCAATGTCTTGCAACTAAATGGTTCCTAAGATACAATATTTGGCTTTACAAAATGCTTTAAGCATATAATACATATTTTATTGGCTGTCTGCAAGTTGAGTCCTAACACAATTTGTGACTAAGTACACCTAGGGCTTGTCTCTGGTATTTACATGGTATTTTCATTTTCTGTATAATTTCTGTGTTACATATGCAATTCTGTTGATATGCACGCATTAAAGTGATACAGTGGAGTAATGCATCACAGGAATTGCTTCTACATTTGTAATGATCAGATGCTAAATATTTGAGTGATTCCACTAGAAGCTTTTTGAAATGTTCAGACTTTATCTCAGGTATATTCATTCCTGATACCCTTACTCTTTAAATGAGTCTTCCTTCCCAAAATACAGATATTTTCCTATGCCCTCCTCCCAAAGCAAGAGACATGTACAGATCTAGAGATAGGGTTGCATAGCCTACTGAGGGCATGTTAACAATGAGTCAGAGTGCAGTAGAAATGGATGTGGGACACTAATTAAGTATAATCTTCTTTTTTTTTAGACAGGGATATTGTCTATCCTCTGTCACTTTTTTTTAATCTTTGGAAAAGTGGCATATCATTTTAAAAACATCATTAGAAGAACACCTGTTTTATATATCAATTATTATGGTACTGGTCTTGATTAAACTCTTATGTACTTTGATCATTGTGTAATCTTGGGATATCTTAATTTCCCTAGAATAATATCTATGTGTTCTCACTATGGAGCATTCTAAAAGTACAGGGATTTGAAAACAAACATTTGGTTTTAAGTAATCATAGAAAATAGTCCTTCAAGGTTTAGATTACAGATACATAAAAAGCTTCTGCAATGTGAGGTATGTATAAAGATGTAGCACCTAAGTGTGATTTTCCATGATAATACATTTATCTATTATCCTTGTCTTCAAAGGCTAGTAATTGATAAGTGTAAGTACTCTTCCATGTGTAGTAAGAACAAGGACAAAGTAAATAAGGCAGTGGTAGTGTTTGTGTGAACTTGTTTGAGTCTCCACAAAGGATCTAACGATAAAATCAAAGTCTGCAGTGCCTGAGATTAAACTCAAACCTAAGCAGTCACACAGTGATGCCACAGGACAGGCAGGACTGTCACGTTGCATGGCAGAGAGTGGTTGGTGGCAGTCTACTGAAGCAGAAGGGTTATGAGGTACCTGCCTGAGTCATCATATCCCAGAGGAGCTGCCTTTTCTGATTTGGCCCAGATTTTCAAGGCATGCAGCTGCAATTGCAGCTCTTATGTAGTAGTTCTTTAAAGGGCAGGTTCATTTACTTTTCTAGCAATTAGTAAGAACTGGCACTAGTTGATGTTCAATGTGCAGCTCAAGCATTAAGTTATAAGCACTAAATATTAGTAAGCAAGATAATTATTATAAATTAAATTGGCTAAAGGAGTTTACCTTTTTTAATAGACAGGAGAAGCTCATTTGTAATCAAATTACCAGAGTAGCCTTTGAATAATCATTTTCATCAGCTGTTGACTCATCAATTCTTAGAGGAGCTCATTTGTTTATGTTCTGCAGTCTTTAAGAATGTGTGAATCCTAATCAACCTCAACTTTATAAGCTAATTGAATTTACTTGATGTACCTGAATTACTTCACAGAGTAGTAGAATGGAAGAAGAATGAATATTTCATGTTCTCCAAATATATAACTGTTTTACTGACAGTAAGACACAGTTGTTATGCTTGTTAATTCTTAGTTTTTAATTATCAACAGTTTTCACAAATTTATGGCTATTACATTTTAGATATGGCAGGAATGGCCTTGGTTGGGAATCAAGACTTGGAACTACTTATAGAAAGCAGGAGCAAAGGTTTTCCAGCTTCAGAAAATTGTGGAAACATGCATTAAAATTACCATGTTCGTTTTAGGATACTTTATAATCCTAAATTTTTCTTGCTGCTCTGATTTGAATGGCCCATTTTTACCCTGAAAAAACAAAAGAAACTTGAATTTCCCCCTCTCTGTTTTTGTAGAGTTGATACCTTTTGCTAATTTTCTGCTGCAGAAACGTCCTGCACATGGGAATACTTACTTCTTTCAATAATAGAATTTGGCAATGAGCATACATTATTCTGTGGCTGTTCACAGATTCACTGGCAGTTCAGAGCAACCTCTGGAAAGCTCAAGTGCCTCTACAGTTTTCTGTCATTTTAAGTGTGTAGGTAAACGGAATACAGGTTACCCATACTTGGTCTGTCAAACAGGTTTTCCAAGTTTTGAATCAAAGTGTAAAAGAATTGCAGTTATTTAGTCCAAGTACCTTAATTATCTTTAATTGTAGATGCCTACAATGAGTGAGCATAATGCTGTTACAATCACAGTTAAAACAGAATAAAGTATTTTCTAAAAAAATGGCAAACATAATCTGTAGCATGAATGCATTAATAGGTGTTCAGGATGGAAAATAAATATGGACATGCTGAAATGTACTAATTGACAATGGCAGGTACTTGGGTTGACAGTGTTTCATCTGGATGGGAGAAGGAATATGGACCTAGAGACTGAGAATCAGTTCATCTGTCACCTCACACCAAACACATGTTCTTGTTACTGGCCTTTTTGGGGGCAGATTTCTCTTAAAGCATAGTTTACCTGAGAAAGTAAAAGCATTTTAGGAAATTGAATTGTGTTGCTATTTATTGGAACATCAGCATATGCATTTCTTACACTGATACTTTTGAATTAAATGCAAATGTTTGGGGATTTACACACTGTGGTACACTGCCTGAGAAAGAACTCACAGCTGAGTCTGAACATGAATACCATTTCCTGAAAGGCAGAGGTGGGACCAGACTCAGTTCCTTGAAGGATCTGCAAGCAAGCAGCATGGAAAACTAGCTATGAGCTCCTGCACACAGGGAGAGGCAGTTTGATAAAGTGTTCCTGTTATTTTAGGAGTTTAATTAAAGGTGAAGGAAACTTTTCTTTCACCTTAAGACATGTGGAAAGCCCCACAGTGGAGTGAGTAAGGTTGGAAAAAGAAGTTTCCACCCCTCTGTTTTCTGGGACTTCCTAAACATCCTCATTTCTAGAAAGCAGAGAATTTTATCCTTAATGCATACCTCTAGAAAATACCACACACAAATCAGTAATGTTTTTCCAAGTTATGAAGAAAGATTGCATGGATTTTGTACGAGAAGTATTAATTTAAGTTACAGAAAGACCTTATGGAGTTAATAGATCACCTGGTGTTAATTAAAAATTGTTGGTGTATGCTTAATTTTCTCCTCCAAACTTAAGACATTTTTATTTTACCAATGAACATCTGCACCCAAAATAAGCATCATTGTCAAATGCACCAAGTTTGGACAGAGATTTTTGTGAAATGCTCGTTGTCAGTATCACTCTGCTCAAGGTAGCATTTGTCCTTTGCATCTTTGTTTCTTGTTAGTGGTTGAGTGTATGTGGAGGTTTATGCAAAACTAGTGGTATTCTTTGAGTGCCTGAGTTATGGGACATGAAAAACTGTATCCTTTGTATTTTTTTAAGAGTAAAATTATCATGAGACTCAAGCACAGTCTTGTCAAGATGATTTCATTTAGTCCTAATGTTGTTCTCTGTCCGACACACTTTATAATAGAGATATTGCTTTCTGTGTTTCCTGATGGAAATCTGCATTAGGTTTGATCGTTGGCTTAAACAGAATAAATTACATTAATATTTGCATATGTGATATTGTAATTCTGCACACTTGTTAAATATAAGGAAAGGTTGTGTATTAATAATAATACATTTGCATATGGATTTTAATGTAGTTATTTAATATATTCAGGTGTTAGTATTTGTGTCTCGACTATACTTGATTTTAACATGTGTTTTATAAGATGTGAACATAGCATTTTCTTGGAACCACTTTAATTTGTAATAAATGTTTTTCAGCTCCCTTGGAAGTCACTGACTAGCATCATTGAGTATTATTACATGTGGAAAACCACTGACAGATACGTGCAGCAGGTAATTTAATGAGTATTTTAGCATGAACCAGTCTGAGACATTCTTAAAAAAGATGTGACCATGTTAAAGCATAAAAATGTGTTTGTGTTATTAATAAAGAAATATGGTGGGAGGCTTTAATATTTTGGGATCCAGACCAGTGGTTCTGTGCAGTTCACAGGGTGCATTGTCAAATCATCTGATGACTGCTGTACATCACATAGCTGTGAAGAGCTTTTAAAACCATTTGTATTGTATGCTAGTTTGAAGCAATGGGATTCTTGGTTCCTACTGCAGTATGGGATAAGAAGGAAATGGGCTGCAGAGCAAATGCTTTAGGCTGTGAAGATGTGCATGGGACAGAAGGAAAAACACATAGTGCTAAAGTGGCAGCTAATGTTATGAATCTTTTGTTGGTACTCCCTGACAAAACATTTCTTTAACATTATGACTATTTAAAAACAAAATTGAAACTATACTGCACACAGTGGATGTGTTCATTGTTCTGTTTGAATGTTCAATTGTTTGGGTTGTTCTTGAGCAGAAACATGGTAAGATTGTATTGGGTACCAATACTGGGATATTTGTATCAGGTTTAGGCAAAATTTCAGTTTGGTGCTTTTTCTATATTGCACTCTTTATACATTTACTCCTTGGTTTAGTTATACAGAATACTTTCAAATCCACCATTTTTATTTCTGATTTAATGTTTAAGTTTGTAGCTGCTTTACTTGCTGTATAATTAGTAGCAATGTTATGAGCAGCATGTTGAAAATAATTTTTAGCTGTAATAACTACAGTTGTATTGTTAGATGGATCGTTGGAGTTGTTCCAAATGAAGTGTGTCAGAAGGATGATTGCTTCAGGTTGTTTTGGTTTATTTGAAAGTGTTCCTACATCATCTTATTAGGGTGTGGAAAGTAAGGGAAAAGTCTTTTACCACATAGTAGAGTCTTGGACTATCACTAGAACCTTTTAGTTCCATGAATAATACAACTAGGAAATAACATGTTCTGTAATAGCAGCATGTTTTTCTGGGTTTGTCACTATTCATTTCACTTTTAACGCTTGTTTTGCACTGTTAATCTTTATCCTAGACAGCTACTGCCAGCAGAGATTTGCTGTGCTGCATGTCAGCTCTTAAGGACTGGCCAACAGATTATCTTTAAGAATCAGATAAAAAGATTTTATTCATACTGAAAGCTGTGGAATAAGGATAAATTGAAGTGCAAATTGTCTTTTGTCAAGACTTAGGAGGCTCAGAAATGGATCTTTCATGTGAATTTTTTTCTGAAATACTTGCTCTGGAATAGTTGGCAAAAGACTAAGATTCTCTTTTTAAAGTTCACTAGGGCTCTATTATGATTCAATTGCTACAATGATCAAGGTGTGTGGTGTATTGAGATTGCATATCCCTTCACAGGATTAGGTTTTTAGCCTCACACACAAGCAAAACACATAGGCTTTATGGTTATCTACGACTTGAATGCTCTTATCAGTACCTGTGTTTTGCTTTTAACTAAGTCAACTTACTACATCCTAACTCAGAACATTGCAATACACTGCAGGATTGAATCCTTTAGACATGTTCTTTCAGGGTCACATATATGATCATCAATAACAAAACCAGTGGAGACCAAATACCTTACTTTTATCCTGGTTAACATTTCTGTTATCCTTTTGAACTGAAGATCAGAACTTCATCCTGCCCTTGTTTAGTTTGTCCTGGAATGGTAAAATAATATAGTTCAATAAAAGCAATATCTGTAGGGCTTTTTCCCCCACCAGAACAGGCTGTGATAATTGAATGTGTTTCAGGGAGAAAATATGTTCAGTAAGTGGCAATTTCAGAGTCATCATTCTCTGTGTATCTTGCTTGAGTGGTAGGGTAGCTTGTGGGACTGGGAAAACAAAAAGGTCAATGTACATACTTGAATCCTAGGCATAAAAGACAGTCTCTGAATTCTAGATTGATGTGATTTAATATGAAAATTTTATCTTTAGTTATCTTTATTTCTTTGCATGAGTTGGCATTGTATCAGGCATAAGAAAGCTTTCCTTTTCATAATTGCTACTAAATGTTATTCTTGCTAGGTAGCTAAAGTCTGTAAGACCTGTTTGAAGTACTGTTTAATATGTAAATTACTTTTTTTTTTCAGGAAAAACATCTGCTCTCTTTGTTACATTGCCCCAGTGATTTATTACATTGCTCCAATGATTTGTTACAAACTGCTGTTTTGTTTCTTGTCTAAATGTTTTCAGTTTCAACTTCCATCCTTTACCAGTTTTCAGCCTCTAAATTTCAACAGGTAGAGGTTTCATCTCAGAAATTGAAACTATTGATAGTTTTGTTTCTGTATCCTTTCTTCTCTCTCAGTATTTAAAAGTTGATAGGTTAGTGTGAATTTAAGCTGCGACATGTTCTGTTGCTTTTAGAGGGTCATGTTAGCCATAGTTTAAATGTAAAAAAATATAGCTTGTACTGAAGTGTCATTGTGTGATTATTTTTTAAAGGCAGATTAGATTGCATTCCTTAAAACCCCTTGCCAGTGCTAAAAGTATGCTAAAATTTAATTAATGTGTATAGTCACTTCTCACTGACACTGTCATCAGAGCTACCTACAAATGCCTTTACATTTGACAGTGCTTCATTGTTTGACCTTTTTTGTGTTTTTCTCTTTTGCTCATGCTAGGTGTGCAGTGAGATTTACTTGTTCTATTTGTAGAATGGAGCCAGTTTGTTAGGAACCTCTGTGGAACATGTGTTACCTGCTGACTGGCAGTTTTTGCATGCTTTTTCAGGCTGAGAACAAGTTCTGTGTTGTTGGCTGTAATATGAAAAGGAAAGAGAGACAGCTGTGGAAAGCCTGTGGCCTGCTATTAAACAGAGTTCATAATTGAGAGCTCCTCTGCTGGGGCTGTGAAATGTTCTCAGGTTAAAAACTATCAGTTTATGAGACTTGGAGCATGCTACTACTGCTGCTGTTCTTTCTCCTTGCTCTTGTAAAATCTGACCCAAACAGCCAGAGCAGACAGTGTTTGCATTTTTGCTATGAGCCTCTTGAGGGGATGCCAAGCCTGGTGCTGAGGAAACACTGCAACTGCACCAGCAGTATCAAATGGAATTCACTTCTGTAACTCCAAACACAACAGCAAGTAACTGAAGAAAAGAAAATAATAAATGGAAAAGTGTTCTCCTATTCCATGGGAATTAATTAATGGTAGGATGGACTGCTTTTGTCATACAGTACTCCTTAAAGATGCAGTTTTTATAAATGAGAGTTTTGTAACTGGATGACATAGAGGCAACTTTCCAAAATGGAAAGGAGCAGCAGTTTACATGAGGAGGTTTACTCAGCCTACTGGTCTAGTAATGCTGATTAACCCTGTAACTCACCTCATGGCTCAGGCAAGAGACTCTCAGAGCAGAGTCATCTGATGATACTTTTTTCAAGGTGAGAAATATTTTTCTGGATTCTAAGCCTTGCAAAGATTGGATATAGGAAAATAGCCATATAGCAGAGAGGAGGATTGGCTGCTGTAGGAGAAATGATGGACTGAATTTTATTCACCTGATGAAGAAAAGCAGCTAATGTTGATTTTTTTTTTTTTATTGCTGGATATCAATGTGTCCCCCACCTTTTTTTTTTCATTTCCTCTGTAATGAAATTTCAACTCCTTTTCTCTCTCAATTTCTTTTTCCTTTTTCCCAAGTGAATAGAAATAATGTCTTGAGTACAGGAATAGCAGGGAAATATTCTTTTTTCTTCATCTTTTACATACAGACAGATGTTTCAGATAACCTATAGACATCTGAAATCTATTTCTTGTGCCATTGCTGAAAAAACAGTCATCTTAGTTACTTGTATAGTATGTGGAAATAACTGAAGCTTCTCAACATTTTGGAAGTTGGTAATACTGCCTTGAATGCAACATGGTTTGAGTTTGTTCCAAGTATGAAGAAAATCATAATTTAGTAAATTCAGAGACTGTCTTGATAATAGTGTAGCTATCCTGCTGCTACAGTGTTCCTGAGCTACAGGTTTAATGGCATGTAATGGAAGTAGGTGCTAAGTTACTTCTAACAGTCAGTGGACTTAGCTGTTCCTTCTACTGCTTATAAAATACCAGCCTTGGGCTGGACAGAGCACACCAGAAGTATTGAGTTACATCACTGATGAGGAGCTCCTCATGTGCAATTTAATTCATTTATTTTCTACTTATTCTGCAATAAGGGTTAGCCACCATGTCATACATGTTTATGTAGATGTAATTTATGTCAGTTGTAGTTGTCATTTTTACATTTTTGTTGTCGTACGTGTGGCCTGTGATTTTTCCTGGAAAGGACTAAAAGTTGAGAACTAGTTTATCATGGTTCTTAGCTTGTAGACTTCTACATTTATTTTGGAGCCAGTTGTGAAATCACAAAATAGAAATAATTTCAAGATGGATTGTGTGCAGTTTTACAAAATCTCATACTTTAATAAAATGTTTTAATGTGTTAATTTTTCATCTAGAAACGTCTGAAAGCTGCTGAAGCAGAAAGTAAATTGAAACAAGTATACATCCCCACCTAGTGAGTATAACAACAAAGTCATTTTTTTGAATAATATACAGGTAAAATTGAAATAGCAACATGCAGTTACATGCATATTATTTTCCTAGTCATCTCTTTAATAGTTATTTTCATAGTATTTGTTATATACAGAGGCATAATTGGAAGATGCTACAAACTCTTGTCATAAGTAAAACCTTCATACTTAACTGAGCCCTTTGACTTTCAAACTGCCTGTCTGGAACAGGGAGAAGTTTTACAAAAGGTTATTGAGTGCTACACTTCTCACATGCAAGGAGAGCCTTAGCCTTTGAAAAGCAGTTTTTTCAGAATAATCAGTTCTGAATCCCTATAGCACAACATCTCATATTTGTATAAATGCAATATTTCAAAATTGAAGCAGTTGCTAATGTAGTTACATAAAAATCAAATAATTTCCTGTTACAGTTTTATCTTGCTGATAAAGTCAGTTCTTCAGCTGGAGACAAGAGTTGTTCTGGCTATAAATTAAAGGCAGCACACAGCCACAAATCTTTTATCTTTGAACAAGCCCTATTAATGCAGTCTTGTTTTCTTCTGAGGGGTTTTTAATCTGTTGGGACTTTTTAGATTTAAACTCAAATCTGTATCTGCTTTTGTTAGCATGTAGTATACAGAAACAAGACATAATCCCTCATTCATATTCATAATTTCCTCAAGATTATGAAAAGAGAAAGGATTACAGATGACTCTTTTTAAGTTTTCTGTATATTCAGTTTACATATATGTGAGGTTCCCAGTGTTATGAATGTTTGTATAACAGAAAACTGGAATACCAAAGGAAGTACTTTGCAAGGCTTTTTGATGACTTGTATAAATTGCATACAATAGATCTTCATTTCCATCTTTCATACAGGCTTTTCTCTCTTGAACAGATGTAATATTGCAAACAGCTGAATGTTAAATCAATTATTTTAATCTCTTATCTGAAGAAATTTTGTGAAGCTTGAAGCTCATATCTCTAATAGCTGAAAATTCTAGTTATGAGTGTTCCCTAGCCCTCTCAAAGAAGTGGCTGCTTTAGGAAAACCATAAGGTGCTAATTCTTTACATAATGCTATTTCAATTTTGTCTGCATGGACCAAAGAAATTACTCATGATTTTTGCCAATATGTTCACAGTTGGGACTAGCTGCATTGGATAACAAAACATGTTTTGATATGTGGGATTTTTGTGCTTTAATCTTACTGTCTGTCTGTTGCCTCCATTTCAAGGCAAAATCTCTAGTCAACACTAAGAGAATGGTAGGACTTCTCATGTATTTTGATAACTGTGCAGTCTGGAGTGGTCCCAAGCAAGTGGATCACTAATGCTCTGCTTCAAGACTGATTTATTGCATTTGAAATCTGAGCAGAATGATTCTCAGAGCTGAGTACCTTTTTGAACTTGATCATAAGGTGTTTCTTGTAAAAGCCAGGTTCTGTCCTCAGTACCAGACTGTCCCCTTCAATTCATGGCTTTTCTGGAAGGTATCTAAGCAACAGATCACAGTGTGGGAGATTTAATTGTCTCTTGATCCTTTCCCTTGTACTTTGAGCCTAAGGTACTTGATAAAGAGTATGTGGAAATTATGTCTCTTGCTGGATGTAGTGAAAAAGGAGAAGGCAGGAGACAGACTTCTTGGCATTTGCAGTAGAGACTTGATACAGCAAAGGTTTCTTCAGTTAGTCATTTTAATGAATCTTGAATATATTTGATGCTATCTAAAGTAACAGTTAATCATCTTAGGAATCAATGTATCTAGACTTGCATTGTATTGAGGTAATTAACACTCACAAAATTGGAGCTTAATAACTAAGTTATTAATCTAATGAGGAGTATATTCAGTTTCAATTAACTGACCTGTAAAGTCCTATTTCACTGAAGGATTAGTAGTAACAATAATAATATAGTATAATAATATTTTAAAAGCCAAACAGTAATATCCAAAGCTAGTTATTCAGCCTTCTCAGAGAGGCAGTAGTTTAGGATAGAATCCAGACAGAACATCTTGATATTATATGGGCAAGCTTTGCCAGGATTATAAGGTAGTCGGAAGGTGTGTGAAGCTGTTTGACCCTCTTCAAGGTTGGACAGCCTTGTAGTATTACAGGCAGTGTTACTACTCTTAGTTGTTATACTCCACCCAAAGTCCAGCCTCAACTTCTAAAGCCTCATCCGTTGACTAGAACCACCTTCTTAAAGTCTGTGCTGTGTCAGACTTTTGTTAATGCTTTGAGACTTGGTCTTTTACTAGCTTGCCAAGTAATTTAGACCATGTGAGCACACTAAAGATCTGTAAATTGGAGTATCAGAGCAGTATCAGAGCAGCTCTTTACATAGCAAGTCTCTTACAATGCTTAAAATACTAAAGCAAAAAAATTAGTCTTGTTTAGAGCAGATTTTATAGATATTGTCAATGCATGTCAGAATTTCAGAATTATGTTGCTTTCATGTTGAGTAACCAATTAGTAAAATCACATTTTGAAAAAAAATTTCTTTTTACATTTCAAGCAATAAACCAAATCCCAATCAAATATCCAGCAACAATGGGAAACCTGCTGCAGTCAATGGAGCAATGGGAGCCTCTTACCAGGCACAGGCCTCAGTAATAGGTCGGGCTTGTGAAAGCTGCTATAGTAAGTAAATTATTTTTTTTTTAATAATTCAAGCGTTTGGGCTAATCTCAATATGTGCTATTTTCTAAAAACAAATTTATGTACTTTTGTTTGCCTGCTATGAGGATAATTTTCAGTTACTTGCATGGCAGAAATAACTTTAAAATTAGAGCCGCCTTCGGTACATTAACTAAATGTCAATATTCAAATCTATGATTTTTTTAAACAATTCAGAAAATGCAGAAAGTTTAAGTCACATAATATGATGGCCCCAATATGTTATTTCTTTACCTTCAGAATGCTAAATACAATATTTTTTTTTGTTCTGTAAGGCTGCAGGGATTTTGAGCTGGTTTTTTTGTGTTTTGTTGGTTTGGGGGGGGTTCCCCTCTTTTGTTGTTCTTGGAAGGCAAATGGAGGGCATGTTGTTTTTTCCAGTATTTATGTGCTTCTGATAATTCTTGTTGGACTTATTGAAATATCAGACTTCTACATAGGTTATATGAGAGTAGATAGAATAAAATCCAGAAATTGAAAAAATTGACAAGGCCTGCCGTTATGAGATCTCTTTGCTTAGCATTCTTGTTGCTGCCTGTCTCTTAAACAGCAATTAAATTAAAACCATATTTTGTATATACAGCATTCCAGTTCTATACTTTGCTGTTTTTCACATCACATTTTTAATGAATAGTTTTCTTGTGAAAGATTGCAAAAAGAAAAGAAAAAATGTTAAATTAGTGTTTCTTTCTGGGTTTCCACATGCACAAGATAGAAGTACATATGTATCTTCAAGGTCAATAGAGGATGTGCTTGTCATTTTCCAATAAGGATCTTGATTTATAAGTACTCATTTTGCATGACTTGTACAAGAAAAAAGCCTAGCAGGTCTCAAGTAATTCTAATAAGTAACAAGCAACTTAATAAGCCTGTCTTCCAGGATAAGATTAGAAGTAGTGGGGTGGGTTTTTTGGTAGTCCCCTGGAAGAAAATCTCTTCTTGGTAATACAGAGCCCCTAGTTTTGGAATTAATTATGGAAGTATTTCCAAAATTTCCATTTGGAGTTGGCTTCTGTGGTGCTTTTGTAAAAAAATAAAGCAACTGCTCTTGTCAAATGTATTGAAGATTTTTCCATACAATGCTCTTATATTGCCACGTATCACAGCCATCTATAGCCATCTGTTACAGCATTTGGATGTATTGTATTAAATGTAGCATGCACCAGTTCACCTGTGCTGTTTTCTCCTCCTTAGCTCCACAGTCTCACCAGTGGTACTCTTGGGGCCCTCCCAATATGCAGTGTAGGTTGTGTGCATCTTGCTGGATTTACTGGAAGAAATATGGTGGCCTGAAAATGCCCACACAGACAGATGAAGATAAACTGTCTTCCAGCCAACCTACAGAGGTAGGATTGTGTAGACAGACTTTCCTAAAATAAAACATGGTGCTTTAACGAGTTGTGATTTAAATGTTTAATGGAAAGGGCTTTTTCTATGTATGTGTTCAACTTTGGTATTACAAAACTCAATGTGTTAATCCTTTCCATGTGTTAAGTAGAACTGGACAGTGTGCAGGCCCTGCCATGTCTTTATTTGACTAGTGCTTAGGTAAACAGACATCAGCCTCATGCATTTTCAGTGGACAAATGGTGTGTTATCTATGAACTGTTAAATTGACTATAAGATAGTATCTTACCTAGAATTGCATTATATATCCATTCTCAATATTGAGTTCCCTACTCAGTATTTTACAGCTTCCTACACAGATCCCAGTTTCTTTTATAGTACTTATGCATGTTATTTGATTAGCCTTGTGAATTAATCCAAATTGTGGATATTTTAATGCCGTGGTTCAGAAGTATAATGATTTTTTTTGGTTTCTTTTTCTAGGAGTCGCATGTCAGAACTCACATGTCCCGTCAGGCCACGCAAGGAATTCCAGTTCGTAACACTGGAAGTCCAAAGTCAGCAGTGAAAACACGTCAAGCTTTCTTTCTTCACACGACGTGTTGGACAAAACTGGCCCGTCAGGTCTGCAAAAATACCCTCCGGCTGCGGCAGGCAGCAAGACGTCCCTTTGTCCCTATTAACTGTGCTGCCATTAAGGCAGAATGTAAGATGTTTTTTTAATTCTTAGTTCTGTGTGCTGTGCTTCCCACCCATTTTTGTCTTTTAATTTTATTTTCTTTTTCAATAAACATATCTTGTCTATACACTTTTTTGCTTTTCATTTTATTTTCATTTGTCCAGCATATCACCCACACGTTGGATAAAGTCTGGCTGCCTTGAACAGATCTTAGGCTGGGGGAACATTTCTAATTAATTAACTATCGCATTCGCTTACAAAAATTGTCATTAACAAAATTGGGGGGCAGAAAGGGGAAATAAGGCCATGACATAAAAAAACATACTTTCTATGAGGCAATGTGAAAGAAATTTGCTTCTATATTGTTCATTTTTTCTTTTGCTGACCAGAAAGTAGAGGTCTGTACATGCTGTACTTTTTCTGAGTGGGATTAGTCAAAGGATCAGGAGCTGGGGATGCATAAATATTTCATGTGGTGTGTAATACAGCCCTTTGTTACTGTGATGATCAGATGGTGGTGATAGGCATGTTTATTGTTACATCATAGTTGCATCATTTTGATTTTGTCTGTTACAGTTTTAAATAAAATTCTCTTTTCCCTTGTTATTTTATAGCCAAAATATAAATAAGTGATGAATTTACTAGTAGTATGACAAAAGATTATGAGTTGTTGCAGATAGCAACAGTAAGTCTCTTCGCATACGTAAATTCTGCTGCAAAGTTACTGAGTATTTCAACAGTATTTGGATCTGCATTGAGCATGTTGTTTGACTCTTCAGTCTGATTATGCTTCCAAGTCTTCCATAGATGCAATTCTTGGAGCAGATGCTTGGTATTCCAAGATGAGCCATGCTAGCTCATCATACTGTCAATTGTACTAGAATTGAAGAGACCTTCTTAGGATGTTAGATCTTGGGTTTATAACCATGTTTACTAGAGTGATGCTAAATGTTTTCCCAGTATATTTAGCTGGGATGCTGATTATGTCAGTGTTGATTATAAGAAATGTACTCCATAGTGGCTTAAAATCTGATTTTCAGTAATTATTTTCCCTTTTATGTACTTTAACACCAGCCATTATTCACATGCAAACTCTTCACCTACTTGTGCAGTCATACAAAACTTGGTGAATATTTCTGTTCATTGTTCTTATCTGATTTTGTAGTTGTCGTTTTGGCTGTTTTCTTCCTGCTTTTAAGTCTATGCAAGTCAGGAGCATCTTTCAGATTTAAGGAAGAAGTATGTCTAAGGCTGGACTAGGATTATATTTTTAATCCTCATTCCAAATTAAAGGTTACTTTCTGAGAGGAAAGCATTGTGCACTTAAATTTATGTTTCTGCTGAATCACAGAGGAAAATTTTAGAAGTTAACTTGAACCTTGAATCTTTTTTTCCATGTCCCTTTTTCTTCTCACATACTGCAGTAACAAAAGGACATGAAGCTTTTGTTTAAGGAAGAGAAAAAATAGAAGAAAGTAGTTTCATCCAACTGTTGTCATAGTAGAACAAGTGTTATACACAGAGTCAACTTTAAAAGAGTGGAGTGAAGCACTGAGCTTTTCACCAGGAAATAGCCATTCTTATATCACACTGGCAGTGTTTTGAGTGCTTTTTCTTTGTGTCTTTGAGTGAAAACGTGCCGCATCCGATTAACACCAAGAGCAGAGATTTTATTTTTCTTTTCTAGTCTCTGTCTATCATTATTTTTGCTTAAAGCAAATTTTGGACCTTTCAATTTGTCTCTTTGGATTCTGATGCTTTCTGATTAGACCCAACATAGATTGAAGACAAAAAATGTCAGTGTTGTTAATGCTGTTTTAACACAACATTAAATTAATTTTCTAAGGACAGAAACCAGATTACATCTCAAGTATTAACACACATTTCTGTATACACACACATACCCACATGCCCACGTACTCTGTTTCTGGCAATCTCTCTCTCTCCCTGTGGAATTGTTAAAATGCTCTTACCTGCATTGTCATTGTGATATTCTTGCTCTAGCCAAGCCTAATAAGTAAGTAAATAATAAAAATTGCTTTGTAGTTTTATTCTTGTGCTTACATTTGGTGACCTGCACTTAGTGCACTCTGTAGGTTTTAATGTTATAACTATATAAGCTCTCTTTTCCTGAAAATGTCCTGAATCCTTTTCTAAGGTTATCTTGAAGCAAGTAAATTTTATTTTTTTTTCTTTTTAAAATGAGATAATTAACAGTAATGATTTCCTATGCTGAGTCTGCTGAGTAATTGCATATTGAATGAGTGCCTGAGTTGGTACAGTCATGCTTAGATAATAACTGGCAGAGTAGCAGGTCACTCATGATGTGCTATGGCATGAGATGGTTAGGACATCCAAGAACTGATTTGGAATTTGTTTTCCACGTTAGTGTGCTGAAACGTGAATCTAGTGACTGCTTAGATGCTTTGTCAGGCTCAGATGACTCTTTCTGTGTGCCAAACCATTTCTTGAAAATGTAACTGCATTTCACATCTATATTGCATTGGGCACTACACCAACATTCAGAAACCATAAAATCTGAAGTCAGGAGGATTGGTAGGGCACTCACCCCTTCAGAAGGTTTTATACCTTCTTAGTCTTGTGCAATTTTTTGAAGTGCCAGGTTGTAAATGAAACTAATTTCCAGTTCTGAGAAAGACTGAACAAGCATGTCAGAGCTCACTCATAAAATAAATTGATTTTTGCATTCCTCCTGAATGCATCTGCAGGTACTTCTGTTGTCTCAGAGAAGTGTGGAAGCCTCTGAGAATGCTAACCTCAGATCCAAACTTCTTTTAGGTGAAACCAGATTTCAACAGAGCATTTTCTGTTGTAATTCCACCCACACCATCTCTCTCAGCCATTATATCCACTGGCAGAAAACAAGGTCCTATTCTGTGTTTTTTATTCCTTCAGTTAGTGCAGAGAGAATTAGATTTTTCTCATTAATGAACCCTATAGCATGACCCCTGCTCAGACCTCAGTGGGAGGTAGTGGAGATGATGCATTAACATACCAGTTCAATCTAGGGATGACCACCAGGAGGTTGAGAAGGCACAGCACCTCCTGCTAGGAGCACAACCCATCATGGAAAGCTCAAACTTTGTTCTGTCTGAGCATAATAGACTCACTGTAGTTGTTGACAATAAACTTGTCTGATGGATTTTCTGGGATAATTAGGTGAACTGCTTTGGTAAGAGGAAATTCTCATGCTCTCGTGCACTACGTCCTTTTTAGTTTTGAATATGATGTGTTTTTTAGAAGGTTAAGCAGAACTATCCTGTCTCTGGAAGGTCTCTTAATTAGAGGAAAGCTAAGTGAGCATTTTTCTTGACAGTCATTGATGAGATTGGATCTGTTTCCAACTTACAAGCAGGTTGACATATGTATGGCAGTGAGCCATGCATCTGTGAACATTATTACTTCAGCACACAGATATTTTTTTGAGGGATTATTTTTTTTCCATTGTTCAGATACAGCTTTATCAATATAACTATATGTATTAATTATAGTAATTTAAATCTGGGTACCTACATGCTGTCTGTGCAGACACAATTGTCAAAATGTTTTCACTGGATGGTAATCTGTATAATATATATATTATCTGGAAAATGGGTATGCTGTTCATGATGAAAATTTATCGTACCTTTAAATCTTCAGATTTATGAACTAGTTTGGTACACAGGACTTGCTTGTTGTGATCTAGTTTGATAAAGCAAAGACAAGTCAAAACTAAGTAGAATATACAAAATGTTACTGATCTGTCTTTGTACACCTAAGGCTTATATTTTACGGACATGAAACTACCCATTCATCTGAAGAGAGTAACATTTATGGGTATTGTTTCACACACTGTTTTTCATTATTGATTTTTATAGCAATGGAAGAGCTTTTGGCTGCATCCAGGATGAAAGTATTTTCTCTGCTGTTATCTTTGAATACAATTTCTGCCAAATTTTAGTAGCCAGCAAAATAATTGAAAGAGCACACTATTTTATTCCCCAAAGTTTATAACAATTCAGGGAATACATAGAGCATAGTACATTCATTAGATAGTCTGAATTTTGACAGAGATATGATGGAATGTCAAAGAGAAATAACTTGCCAATGTCTCTCTAAGTTTAAGAGACCTACAAGTCTGGTTTTAAAAAGGAAATCATAAAAAAAAAATGCTTTCAGATCTAAAAGCACAGCCTCAGTTGTTATCATCTTCATAGCATTCCTAATTCGTTCACCTCTGTAATACCCACAACAATCATCACTTTTCTAGGTTAAAAACTTGGTGTGTTTCAAACCTCATCAAGAATCTGTTTCACACTGTGGTTTGTATGTTGTTTCCTGGAGTTTTTCTAATTGTACTGTATCCTCTTTATGGTTACGGTGCTTCAAGTTATGTGCACTTCAAGATGCAGGTTTCCCATAATTTTAGAGACAGTCACGTTTTCTAGTTTCCTATCATCATAATTTCTACTGTTCTGATTTCAATTTCTTTCCAAGTGACCACTATTTAGTATTGTCTAGATTCCCTTTAGAAAGCTGTTGTCACTGAGTCCATAAATTCTTTCCTGCTTGGTGCTGATGTAGAACCCATCATTATATCTGTATGTTTCAGTCATTTTACCCCTTAAGAACTAATTTACCTCGATGCTCTTCATATTCTTTGTAATCAGTTTTAGCTTCGATTATGCTCAGAAATATGTTACCAGGAAACTTTAACTCTCTAATCACCTCTCTTCCTGATCTTGAACAGCACAGATCCTTTGGCAATTACATAGACAATTAATTTTAATAAGGTTCTAATCCCTGGAAAAAACTTTTTACCCTCTAACAGCTGGACAGCAGAGGACTTTGGTGACAGTTTGTTAAAAGCTTGTTGAAATGCCAAGTTGGATGCCAGATCAGCTGCATGTGTACATGTCATGATCCCTTCAGTGGATCCTGGCAGGCCTATGACACTGGCAGTTACTGGCTTACAGGACATGTAAGTAGGAAGGGACCCTTGGAGGTCTCTAATCCCAGCCCTTGCTTGAAGTTCATGTGCCTCTGAGTCTTGGATGGAGACTGCACAACTTCCCTGGGCATCTGATCCAGTGTTTGATAAACCTCAGGGTAAATAATCTTTTCCTTAAATCCAGCAATTTTCTGTCTCCCAGCTTGTGGCTGCTGCCACAGGGAGTGATGGTAAATGTTGTCTTGTCCCTGCATACCTCTGAGAAGGGGCTGGCTCAGTTTCTCTAGGCTCTACTGCTAGGAGGTTGCAGGGAGCAATCAGGTCTTCCCTTTGTCCTTCTTATCTCAAGGCTGAGCAGACCCAGTGCCCCTGGACTCTGTGCATTTCTTGTACTCAAGTGCCCAGACAGCTGGGTGAGTCTCCTGTAGCTGGACATGCTGCAGTGTGTCCATATCTTTGTCGTACTGGGAATCCCAGAACTCAACATGGGATCTGGCCATTGCTTCACATGGACCTCCCTGGGACATGCCCTACTGAGTGCACTTGTGCTCATAAACCCAGTATGCTGTTGTCCTTCTTGCTGCAAGGACACACTGCTGAATAATGTGAACACATTAAACATGTTTTCCCTTTGCAAGATCTTTGTTGGCTCCCTTGATGTTCCCATATTTAACTGTTTGCTTGTATTAATAGAGCAGCCCTTTTGCCACTCTGCAGACCTGCTTACTGAAGAATGTTATCACATTTGCCCTGTTTTTGTTCCCTTGAACCAAGACTGTTTAAGTATTCATTAAACACCAGCAGCGTATGTGCTCAGCAGTTTGCTTGGATGAATTCCACCTGGTCCTGATAACTTGTTTTTATTCATTAACCAGTTTGTTTTGAAATATTTCCCAGGGACACTTTGATGTGACACAGTTCTCATACCTTCCTTGTAATATTATTTTGGAAGTGAGCTGCTTTAAGTGCTTCTGTGCCTTTGTCTTTTTTGTGTTCTACTTGTATTTTTCTCACACCTTCATCATCTATTGCTACAGGCACTAGCACACGTTCTGTTTTGCTGTGTTTGGAAAATATGCTATAAAATATAAATACTCCTTTTTTAATAAATGTATTTTTTTCTCATAGCTTCCACTATTTCACTAATCTTACAGAGATTTTTATGGTCCATGTAGAAGCTCATATTTGATTTTAGGACTTGTTTTTAATTTTGTTCTTTTTGACAACTTCCTACGTGAATTTTTTTTCTGTTTTTTACACTTGAGAGTGATGCGTAATCTAAATTCTGTGGTTTTCTGTGTTATGCATAAAGATCATAAACTTTATTATACTTTTTATGGAAGTAACATAATGTGGATCAAAGTTTGCTGCTGTTAAATGAACGTAACTGTTTTAATAGATAGGTGTGCTTTGGAATAATCACCTTTGGTGAACATGCTTTACCTCAAGCATGGAAATTGTGCTCTCATTGCAATCTGTATTTCCAGTCAGCATATTAATACCTCTCCATGATTCAATGTCTTTGTTTACAGTGAAGACACATAGATGGAAAATTTTGCTCATTCTTAGGTTATGCTTTGCTGTTCTCAAAGTAACTATAAAATACTGTAAGGCCTGTGATTATTTTACTGAGGGAGTCAGTGGAGACTCTGTCACTTAAAATATTTCCGATATTGTGGAATATTAAATATATGTCAGGCACCAGGTTTGTGCATTTTTTTTTTTTCACTTGAGATTAGTATGTTTTGTTATTAAGGGAAAATAAAAAAGTACTTTGTGTACTCAGCATTAGAGCTCTGGAACCTTTGGATTGCCCAAATGCCAGTTGGCATTTCCAGAATTTCATGTAGTTTCCTTAATATATTGAAGTAAGTTGTGCATTGTCTGCTGCACTGAAAAGATCTGTGAACTTTCTGAAATACTTATTCCAGTCATTGCTGTGCTTTCATGACTTTCATGATTTTTGCACAGACCTAGATAGAATATATAAAGAGATTGCAAGTTGTTTTATCCAGTATCTTATCCTCTTCCTGTGACTATGTACTCTGTCTCATGTGCTGTAATGAAGCAAACAGGAACAGTTTGGAAAAACACAAGGTGGAGTTGCAATTATGATCTATTTATAATGTGTACCACCTGTAGAACTTGTTAGAAAATGCAGATGTGCATGAATGAAACCTATACAAAGAAAGGCATACATGTAGGTAGGTATTTGTGGGAAGTAGTTCCATGCAAGAGAATTCTCAATCTACACCGTCAATATATGAGTGCAATTTTGTGCAGAACAGAATATCTGTGTTCTAGAGATAGCAGAAGCTCTATATGGGGACTTCTTATGTACTCTTGGAAGACAATCCAAGTGTAATTCCAGTAGTCTTGAAACTATTTATTGAAACCTAGTGCTTTGTGAATTTTTGCCTTAAGTTGGCCTTAAGTCTAAGCATGAGCCTCTTCATAGTAACACTTTGTGTTTGGGACATGTAGATTAATTCTCTGCTTGTGTATTCACAGTGCCTTTAAAGGTGTGAGTTCATAGTAGTGGCAAGAAAAGGAGTTGGTTTTGTTGTTTCGTGGGTTTCTTTTGGGGGCAAGAAAAGGAGTTGGTTTTGTTGTTTTGTGGGTTTGTTTTGGGTTTTTTTCCCAAGCTTCATCTTGCCATGATAGCCCCTGTGTTTGACTTTACTTACTAAGCATTATATGAATCACCATTCTGCAAATAAGACATGACAAAAATCAGTAGTCTTAGCTTTCAATCCTTACCTCTGTATTACCCCATTTAGAGCCAGACGAGCTTGTAGAAAGCAATAAAGAATTCAATGTAAATTAGTTTTAATAGCCAGAGCTACGTTTCTTTTAGTACTCATGCTTTCATCTATTTCATTTGCCTAGCTGACTGTCTCCAAAAAGATTTTGTAAGCAAAAAACCACAGTGAAACTGGTGTTAAAACTCGCATTAACTTTAAAAAATTATAATCACAGCATCACTTGCATGAATGAGAACATGTCCTGCCTTTAATATCCATCATTGTAAGTGTTGATGAACAAAAAGGAGAATGTAGGGTAAAAGAAAAAAAAGAAGTCTGCATCAAAGAATGTAGGGTAAAAGAAAAAAAGAAGTCTGTGTCAAAAATGCAACTCAGAAACTGGTTCGTGTGTCCTAATTCTATTTGTCATGGTAAAATATTTAAACTGAGTTTTATTTTTTAAAATTCTCAGATGCAGATCGACATTGTGAACTTGCTGGAAATCCTCTGAAGATAAAAAGCACCAGAAAACCCCTGTCATGTATCATTGGGTATTTAGGTGGGTATCTGCCTCCAGGAAATAATGAACCAAATGAACATTCAGTGTGTACTGATGATTTATAATCTTCTATGCGTAGAAAAGAGATCTATGCTTTTAGTAACAAGAAAACTCTGAAGTTAGTAAATTAATAATAATGGTGGTCTACTATCTGTTGCCAAACTGCATGATTGAACTTGCAGGATGTAGGCAGAACTCCTTGTGGTACCAGTTTAAAGTAGGGATAATCAGTATGCTCAGTGCTGCTCTCTGTGCCCCTTGAATCCATTTGCAATACTACTATATACTTAAAAGAAGGAGACCTCAGCCACACTAAGACACTGATCCTGTAATCTGATCAACTAAAGGTGCAATGAAATCTGTACTGAGATCACAGCCAAGAGGACAATGAACTCATAAGGTAATGGGGAGGGAAGAAATTCTAGTAATAGCTATTCCTTGCTAAAAGAAAAAAAGAGAGAGAAACTTGTCCTCTTTGCAAGGAACTAATGACTATTGAATATTTACACAGTTGTATGAGTTGCAATAACCCAGAGGCTGTTAATCCTCAAATGAATATAGAAATCAATGCATTGATTAGAGAGGCAGCAAATAATTATGCAGTGTATTAATCCCATTCTACAGAATTGAAGCTGACTGTAGAGCTCAGTCTGCATGTTTCCCTCAAAATTTCAATCAACAGGAGGTTTTTTTTACTTTACTAGAGCAAAGTAAACAGTAACACGCTCTTGCCTTCATGAAACAGGAATCACCTATTAATGTAGTTACAACTGTTCTTCCAGAACATCAATTTTAACAAAATCCTGACTTCAGAAAACTGGATAATGAAGAATTAACTGTAGAGCTCAGTCTGCATGTTTCCCTCAAAATTTCAATCAACAGGAGGTTTTTTTTACTTTACTAGAGCAAAGTAAACAGTAACACGCTCTTGCCTTCATGAAACAGGAATCACCTATTAATGTAGTTACAACTGTTCTTCCAGAACATCAATTTTAACAAAATCCTGACTTCAGAAAACTGGATAATGAAGAATTAATGCCACCTCAATTTTGTCCTGCTGCCCTGGAGTTTAAGGAAAAAAGGCAGTGATAATTTCCTACATGTATCCTAGCTGTGTGCATTCACTTCTGTTGTCATCAGAGTGGATGAGGAGAGGACTTTTTGGCTGACTGGTGGAGCTGTGGTTGTAAGGGAGGGCAGTTGCACAGGAGATGGCTGACCTGTCTGTGCATAAACTGAGACTGCATGGTTTTAGTATCATGTTATTTAGTTGTTCATGGGTTCTGATACTGCTCTAAGCATAAGTCTGTACATTTGATGGGAGTAAATGGATGAATAGTGTCAGACAGCATTATGTATACTTAGGTGAAGGTCTGGTAAGTTAACAGTACTAAAATATAGTAGGTATCTGTACAGTCTGCTTAGCTTTTGACTAAATGGGAAGTGAAGGTATCTCACTACAGCTGAATGCAAATAATGTGTTACAGGGATATTAAGTGTACCCAGAGCAGTTGAATACATGCATCTGAATTAGTCCTATAGGGATAGCTAGAAAATGGCTTTTCATTTGGCATTTAGCATGGTGGGTCATTTTATTTTCTTAGTTTACTTTGAGATCTTTTTTTGTTCATTTGGAATTTTTGCATGTTCCAGCAAATAAGTAATGCTTGCCTTATTTTTCTCATAAAAATTAGCATTAAATATCATGTCATAGGTTATCCAGGAGGCATTTGTTTTGTTTCTAAAATTCTTCCTGTGCCATTCCCACAAATATTTATTGACATACCAGACACTACTGGTTTTGAGATTTCTGGTAAGGCATAGAGAATTTCAGTGCCCTACACATCCTGGGTCATCACTTCCCTTTATCCCTGTTTTGCTTCTTGGCTGCCTGTTCCACAGGTGGGGTAGGTTAAGCACTAAAATAGGCCCTGTCGTCTCAGGAGCTGGGGCTAATCCTCTAATCTCTTCAGTCATCACTGTGCTTACTAAAACAAAGCCCCTAAGGTGAACCCCTTGCTAATTAAATGTCCTATACTATCTCCTAGTAATGAGGAAACCTGCCTAACATTTCCAGCTGGAATGCATGTTTAGGAGATGAGATGAGAGAGAGAGAGGTGCAGCTGCTTAAGTACCTCTGAAATCCAGAACGTTTGTTTAAGTGACTTCAACTTCTTTATTTGCTTTGGGTTTTTTATTTTTTTTACCCTAGTGACATTAATGGAAATGGGAGAATTTTTAAGAGTTGTTGCTATTCATTTGTTTAAAGCTGCAATCTGGTTTTATAAAAAGGGTTCATAATATGTTGTTGAAGCATTGATTCTTACTCTTGTTTTATTTTTATTTCAGAATGTGGCCAACTGGTTGGGTTTTTTATGTGGATTTAGGGATAATTTGGGTTAGTTGGATGGTTATACTCAGTTCTCTGAGTTAGTAGGAGACGCAGGTGGCTACAAGATTTTGAGTGAATTGCTAGGCAATAGAACAAGGATAAGAGCAGCAGTAATTAAAAGATCAATAATTATTATTTTTCCACAATACAATAATATGCTGGGATAATATTAGTCAGGCAAAATCCCTAAAATACCCTATTACCCCTCTCAGGCATGATGAACCAGCTAACTAGTGCTGATCTAAAGCATGAAAATATTTGAATGACATTTATATGTACAGGAGAAGTGAGTTTAAAGTGTAAAGACCTCACAGGAAGGAATCAGTCCATTGGGAAGTAGTCCTGGCTGTCTAATTAAGTTCTTTTCTAGAACTTAAATGTAGAGCTTGGTCTTGTTACCTTGTTCTACTGCAGAAAGAGAAAAGACAGCCTTTCTGGTAAATTTATGGAGGATTAGTGACTTCTGAAATGAAGAAAAACGGAAAGGAGGAAATTATTCCTTCCTCTTCTATTTGCTCACCCTGAAAATATAAAATTGCATCTCCTATATGCTGTAGATGGAAGGAGTTTGAGTTGTCATATGCTGATGCAGCTGCTGGAATTATTGTGGTTGCTGCTGGAGTTCTGTGGCAAACAAAATAACATTTTAATAGTGTTAGCCCTGAAAATTTACCATTTCCCTCAGAAAACTGGAAAAGACTGCCAAACAAATATTTTAGAAACAAAATTCCAACCATCTTCAGCAAACAGCACAGTGCTTCTATTTCAGTTTACTGATTGCTAAGGCAAAACTTTAATGTTCATAACATTAAGCATGCCTCTGTTCCTATTTTAGTATAAAAGCAAAATACAAGATGCTTGTTCCTCACAACAATCACAAATGGGATGTGCCATGAAATCTGCTGTGTGCTTGGTGTTCCTATACTTTTATGTCAAAAGGAGATGAGTGCTGCAATGAGTGGCAGTAAAAAGTTCTCATCTAATTAAGTGGTGGGAAATTCAGTGACATCAAACTAGCCTTTAGGTGCACACCAAATCTACAGGACTGCCCTGAAGCAATTACCTGTACCCTCTCTCTGCTATTCTAACACTTTGCCCGTGCATTACGCTGCTCTACTGTTTCTTATCTGGCCCTCTGGAAGACTGTTGTATGCAGGTGTTTATGCTTAGAGAGTGTGATTGCAAGCTCAGACCAAACCAATGGTGAACAATTTAAGCAAACTCTTTTCCACTGTGAAAATTGTTGGCATTTTCTCCTCCTGGCATTCTGTTCCCAGTACAGCCTGGCCAAATCACTGTGACCATCCTATTCCTTTCTACCTCTTTGGATACTGGTGGAACTGTTTGGCCTTCCCACCTTCATGTATCTGTGTTTTAAAGGTTATTATGACTTTTTGTAGTGCACCCTCAGCCTCCTCTGCAGTCATGACCTCTGGGGTGGGTGGGCTGGGTACCTGCTGGCTACCTGGGCAGCTGCCTGCAAAGGTTTGTCATGACAGCAAGAGTGAGAGGCAGGGTAAGTGCTTGGATGTTGGACTTCCTTGACATTTCTGAAGGAGGAAAATCATGCTATCACAGTGGACTTTGACTTTATGCAATGGTTTCTCTTTCTCTGGAATGATAGCCATGAATGGCAGAGGCTGAGGAGCCTCCTCCTTGGATACCTGACCTCACTGGAGGTTTTGCATATTCACAGCTGTGCTTGATTTTATCAACAGAGAAGCAGAAAGAAGCACTCTTCAGTAGGTCTAAGCCTGGGCTGCAAATGAGAAATTGCTTCATTTTTGTCTTCTGATCTTACTCCCCTTGGGCAGCTGACTCTCCTAAGCTGTCTCCCAGCCCGTCTGCCCTCACCTTCTCAGCCCAAAGGTCTCTTCTGCTGCGTGGGGACATCAGGTGGCTGCTATAATCTGATTGCAAGCACCTCCTAGCCTGTGCAGCGCTGCCAGCTGGTGCCCTGTGGCTGTGTCAGAGGGACAGGACCTGCCCTCAGGCATCTGACTTCCCACACAAATTTGAGTCTGCCCAAGGTCATACACACTGATGGCATTTTGAACCCAAATGTGTGATGGGAATAAGTTAATTGGTTCAGTAAATTCCTGGTGAAGAACAAGCAGACCCTGAAGAGACTTTCTTTTGCCACTTTTATCTGGCAGATAACAGAAATTTCCATGCAGCTGTATCAACTCTTGGCAAACACAGCAGCTACCACCATGAAGTATGCTGTCCAGATGCACTTAGCTGCCTTTTACCCTCTTTATTCTTCCTTCTCCAAAATAATCCTGCCCTGTGAACCATATTAGATACTCTGGGGTCTTTGAAGCTCCCCCATAATGACTCTATATGAGAGTACAGCAGTGCCCAGTCCAATTTTAAGGATTTTTGTGTTCTCACTGCAGTTTTGGGGTAGTTTTGGCTGAGAGCCCCGGAGTGGCTGACCCTCTGACTCCTGCACCTAGTGATTTGTGTGTGGGAAGATCCCTTAAAGCTTCTTACTCTGACAGAAAATACTGGATAGCTTGAGGTATTGAGCTGTTTTCACTATACTAAAATGCTTTTATTTGCTTGCTAAAAAATCTGTAGGTGTGGGGCTTCAATACAAACATCAAAAGGGTAGGAAAATATAAATACAGGCCTGTTTCAGATTGGTTAGTATTATTCTCTCTTCAACCTCTCAAATCCTTACACATGCACACCATAATATTGAACTTGTACAAGCTAAAGAGAAATAGATTTTTCTTACTTGGAGGATCTGCAGGTATGAAGATTTGTGTTTGAAGTGTTATTCCAAGCCCTGTAAACACACAAATTCAAAAGAAACTTTCTTTCCTTTCACTGGAAATTGAATGTAGATTTAATATGTAGAATGGACTGTTTTTGTTTATTTTAAAATCAGTATATATAATTTTTTCTTTCTCTCTTTTGTCTCAGAGATACATCCTGCGGTGAAACCCAATGTAATCAGGTCAACACCAAGCCTTCAAAGTCCAAGTGCAAAACGACTGCTTGCACCCTCCAATCACTCTTCACTAAGTATTTTGGGAAAAAGAAACTACAGCCATCATAACGGTCTCGATGGTATGTGAAGGAATGAAAGAGATATTCTTTAAGTCTCTGAATAGCAAATCATTCTGTGAACCTGAGAGGATGTTTAATAAGAGGGTGCAGACTTAGAAAAATGTGAGATATGGATAGCATGTTCATAGCATTGGTGCTTATTCACTGAACAAGGTGATATTAATGCTATATCTTACCAAAACTGCATTTACCGTTTTGCTTACTAATCTTTATTTAAAGAAAAGAAAAAGAAAATAATAAAACAAATTTGGTGAAGGCAGATAATGCAGCATATTTTATTTTGGCTTTTTGCATTGCATTTTTATTTGAAGAAATATATTGCAGGGATATGCAAGACCTTTTTAATTACTTTGTGCAGAATTACTTGATATGTACCAGACCTGCTAGTTTGCCACCAATCCCTTTGCTAATATAGGAATTCTAAGTATGGCTTAGCCTTGATTCTCAGCAGTGTGGTTGGTAATAGAGAAGTAGTCCTGGCAGTAAGGACTGGGGTAAGGAAGATGCTCCTTAGTAAGTGACTGTCCTTGTATTTATACCACTTGCAGAGAAGGCTGCAAAAAGGGTGTCACAGAGGTACAGGAGAGGCTTTTCCTGTAAAAAGCTCAACCAACCAAAAAAAAAAAAAAAATAAAAAATAAAAAGCCAAAAAAATGGGAAAATTGTAGGTAAGGCTAGCTTTTCTCAAATAATTAATTTTCATCCTGAAAGGTGACTGTGTATTGTTGATGTATTTTTTTAAATATTTTTATTACCAAACAGATAGATTTTTCAACTATTAACTGTAAACAGTTTTACCTCATGTATGAAGAAGAGTAGAATCCAGCCGAATATAAATTGTTATACTAATAAAAAAACCCAAACATGCATTCCTGAAATCTTTGTGAGGTCTAACTTCTGGAAGCCATTTGCTTATTTGTCTCTAACTGAATAAGGTGATTGGGGTTAGAAATCTGTAAGACCTTAGGCTCTGAAATAGGCTGATCTGCACACAAGGTGTCTATCTCTTTTCATGCTTCACAGAATAGGTCAAGATAGAAATGAGATAGAAATGCCTTTTAGACAAGCTAATAGAGATAGTATTCCAGATAAATAAAAACTTGATGAATTATCCACCCTATTCCCCATAATGATTGTGTTTTTCTGTCATTGCCAACACTGGTATATTGCAGTGAAAATATCTACTGTATATTTAATAATACCTAGATAGAAATAATTACATACTTTGATAAAAAGTGGTTATTTAGTGTACACAGAAGAGAGAATTGTCTGCACCTCTGCTCAGCATGCAGCTATTGCACCATAGGCAAACAATATGCATGGGAACACAAACTATTTGGTGGACCAAGGTGACAACCCTGTGACTTGCAGTTGGAAGAAAATATGGTAACATTAGTAGGCATAGCCATAAATGCTGAAGTTCCACTGCAATCTTGGAGTGAGAAGGTCTGCATGAATGGTCTAGTAGTTGCTGCATAAGAATGTGAACAAAGGCTTCTCTCACCCACCAGTGTTGGCTGTTAGACTGGACTCTCCGTATGAACTCTGAGTGATGAATGATTTTCCCCTAGACATAAAAATGATCATAGAATCATTTAGGTTGGAAAAGACCTCGAAGATCAAGTCCAACCATTAGCCCTTCACTGCCAAGTCCACCACTAAACCATGTCCCCCAGTGTGACATAATTGAAATACCTCCAGGGATGGTGACTCAATCACTTCCCTGGGCATCCTGTTCCAGTGCTTGACAACCCTTTCACTGAAGAAATTTTCCCCAATATCCAACCTAAACCTTTTCTGGCATAACTTGAAGCCATTTCCTCTTGTCCTCTCACTTGTTACCTGGGAGAAGAGACTGACTTCCATCCTGACATGCACATTTTACTGCAGAGAAGGCTGCAGCAGTGTGTTTGAGGTGAACATTATTCTGATTAAATCCCTCCTTACGTCCCTGTAAGGAGACATGCTCGGAAGTCTAAAATTTTAATTCTACTTACTGTAGATGTTCTCTTCAAAGTAAAGTGTATAAAAGCAGTCATTAGCCACCCTGATTAGTTTATATCGGAAAGTCAGCTAACTGTTCAAAATAGCATCTAATTTGGAAAATTAGTATAGAGAACTGTTAGGTCATTGCTTTAGGAGATAACTATTTCTGCTTACCTATTTTCCATGAAAGCAGAACTTACCAGAAAGCATATATCCTAAATAACTGAAATCTATATTTTGTTAGCACAAAACCGACTATTTTATGTCCAGTGCTGTGCTTGACAACCCTTTCACTGAAGAAATTTTCCCCAATATCCAACCTAAACCTTTTCTGGCATAACTTGAAGCCATTTCCTCTTGTCCTCTCACTTGTTACCTGGGAGAAGAGACTGACTTCCATCCTGACATGCACATTTTACTGCAGAGAAGGCTGCAGCAGTGTGTTTGAGGTGAACATTATTCTGATTAAATCCCTCCTTACGTCCCTGTAAGGAGACATGCTCGGAAGTCTAAAATTTTAATTCTACTTACTGTAGATGTTCTCTTCAAAGTAAAGTGTATAAAAGCAGTCATTAGCCACCCTGATTAGTTTATATCGGAAAGTCAGCTAACTGTTCAAAATAGCATCTAATTTGGAAAATTAGTATAGAGAACTGTTAGGTCATTGCTTTAGGAGATAACTATTTCTGCTTACCTATTTTCCATGAAAGCAGAACTTACCAGAAAGCATATATCCTAAATAACTGAAATCTATATTTTGTTAGCACAAAACCGACTATTTTATGATTTTAAAATGGCTATTTTGGTTCTTATCCTTGCCCCTCTCTTTAATTAAAAGCCAGCAAGGTGTAAATGCAATGAAAAAGGCACAAACCAGTAGTAATGATACTCAACATCGCAGGTCTTTTATTCCTTTTGACTTAAAAATTATTACCTTTGATATTTACCATTTGCCTCCTCCTCTGGTCATTGTAAATAGAAAATATATTTTTTTGGTTGTAATTTATCCAGCTTCTCTTCAGCACACAGCAAACACTCAGTGACCAGATCAACTTGGGAAATGGTGGTTTCTATGTAATTTCCCTGACTACAGTGTACTTACTGTTTGTGCAGTGAAAGGTTCTGCCAACCCCCTGAGTTTTTGTGCTACTAGAAATAAACTAAAAGGTTCTTTTGGTTCCAAAATACTATTGATTGCTGCAGGGTTTATTGCACTGTATCAATTTACAGTATCCAAAAAACCTGCTATGGCGATGATGACAGATTCTGTCTTTCAATGTGAATTAGTGAAATGAGCAAGCAAAAAACAGCACAGGGGCTCATATCAAGTCTTATTTCTTACTATTTTCATAAACTTGATGTTATTGGCACAGAAATATCTGCATGTTCAAGTTTACTATTTTCCCATCAGTATTAGAAATCTGTTGTAAAGAAGTTGTATAAATATGTTTACATAACATACACATTAATTTACAGCATTCAAGTAAATGTTGCTTAAGCTTGTGCAAATATATATTTAGATTAGCATAATTTCAGTCAGTCTTACTGCCTAGGTGAGCTGGGTGCCATATCTTGACAGAATTTGTTATTAAGCAAATTAATAATTATTGGCTTAGAATATAGCAGTACAATATGAAAATGGCACTACTTTATGCTTCTGTGGGGGAAGATTATGAGAAACATCATTAATATTTAGTTAAATGCTTTTAAGACTAGTAAACAAGAACACAATTAGCATTTCTTATAGGAGCATTATGTTGTCTTATTTGATTTGAGTTTTGCTTTTAGCCAATGCAGCACAAGATTGATTTTTCCATGAATGTGCCTTCAGAAAGAGTCTGGTGCAACTGATAGGGGTGAAGGAGTCAAGCATTTCTGGCTAGCATTCCTTCATCTTTATCAAGAATGATGACAGAGCTCATTTATCTCTTCATAAATGGGAGTGATGTGCCCTGGTATCTTGTTGCTGTCAGTCACTGGTGCCTGAAAGATGTACTTGTAGCTTGTGCAAGGTGTAGACATAAGTGAAATTGCACTGCTTAAGCACTTAAGCTAGCTAGAGGATCTTGTAGGTTTTTGTGTCCTTTATTGTGGGAGGAAGACTTTTGTTGGATGGTCTTAGAGAAGTGGTTTTCCTTTATTTCTAAATAGCAACAAGTCCTGCATTCTGTAGGCTATAATGAAAAAAAATACCAGGAATTTGGGGTTTTTTGCTGCTCTGGAAAAAAAATAAATCACAATACTTTGGGAAGTTTTTGTGCCATATACATGCTGGTGCTTTTAACTACTCTGAGATGCAGTATTTCAATTGCTGCTGAAATTAAAGTCAACATAAGGTATTTAAGTGGTTCTCTGTGATGAAGTCAGCCTCTTTCAAATGGGAAAATTCCATTTCCAGAACATCACGATGTTGCAGAATATTACGTGTATCCCATTTTATGACTGGAGTTGATGATGGGAAGATTTAGGTGTGACTGTAAAGTGCTTTATAGATATTTTGAATCTGATCTTTAAATTACAGTGTCTGAAATTATTCTGAGCAATTACTTTCACCCACAAGCTGCTTAACTCTGAGCAACAGTACAGCCAAGTAGTGGAGTTTCACGTCAGGCTATTGTTTTGGCAGGGTGAGTAATGATAATTTTGCTTGCAGTATTTGGAAACATTAGGTAGAGGTATTTTACATGGGAATAATCTCTGTCACCTGGCACGCATTTCCTTACTGTTATGTGCATCAGAACAGGAATATCCACAGGATGTCCAAGATATCAACGTCACTAATGAGGTACAGAAATCAGTGTGGGCCTGTTGATACCATTTTCATGATTTGTGGGCAGAAATCAGTATGATTAGTGTTGAATTGTGTATACCCATTCTTCTTGTGAGAAACAAAAGTTATATGTTGTTCCACAGTCAGTTTTTCCTCTGAAATGTACATGTGTGTTCTAGCTTTGGTCCCTGGTATAGCCAGCAAATGTTTTGAAATATTTGGCTACAGATCTCTTAGTCAAATG